TGTTATCAGTCGTGTTTGCAACCCTCCTGAGCCTGAGGACAAAATAAACATAAACATTGGAAATCCGTGTTTGGACATGACTCTACCCAAACCATCTTACAGGCCCAGCAAAGACGATACTGGACCATACCATGGGCCGTCTGTTGCTGATGAGGGAGGAAGTGCTGCACGCTTCATTGTTGAGAGCCCCACTCTTGGTACAGGATCTTGCCCAGGTCTGAGAGTTAATACTTCTGAAGGAGTGGTGGTGTTGAGCCACTCAGGGCAGAAAACAGAGGGACCACAGAGGATTAGTGCAAAAATAAGTCAAATCCCACAAGCAACTGCAGGTGACATGGAATCTCAGCAGTTGGTATCCATGCCCCAGATAAAACAGGAAATGTATGGTCATTCTCATTTAGGACTTCAGAAAGGCCCTTCATTGCAGACAGATCATGGGCATCCTGGTAAGACGCAGTCAACTTTGTCTTCTATTAAACAAGAAAGCGCTGGTTTGGAAAAGATGGAATCTACTTACCAATCTGGAACACAAGGAGTAGTGAAGCGTCTCACACAGGGTAACCAGCAAGCAATGAGTTACCATCAGGAGTACATGCCAATAAAACATCAGAAGAAAATGGACAGCGCTGATCCTCACAGTACAGATGGAGCTAAACCACCTTGGACCTCTGCTGTAAGTCCTGCCATAAGCCCCCATTTGCCCTCTCCACCTGGCAACCATGTAGGCTTTGTTACAGCGGCTGGTGACAGAGGTCCCTCCCACATCAGTGGAGTCAAACAGGAACCACGGTCCCCTCGCAAATCAGGTCATCCACACTCTCCGTTTACTAAAGTGTCCTCACCCATAGGCTCTTCGTCACCCAAGGGAATACCAGTGATGTTATCCACTGGCCTACCTGCCATGCAGCAGTTTATTACTGGTGTACATCATCCAGAGCAGTCGGTTATCATGCCACCTCATAGTGTACCTGGAGGCTTGGGACGGATGTCTCCTCACCGTGTTACCCAGTCAATTCCAGTGGGGCATCTTGTCCAAGGAGATGTACGGGTCAATACTCCACCCCTTTCTGTGATGAGCTATGGGATGCATAGTGAGCCTCTTGCCTCTCCCTGGTCTGGTTCTATGCAGCCACGGCCCACCTCACCCCAGGCTGTTGGCAGAGACAAGGTTCTCAAGGTGAACCCTGGTTCTTTGAGGGGTCATGAAGGGGAACAGGAAGAAGCCAGACGCTTCCACCAGGCTCCAGGAAGACAGTCTGCACAGTTAAAGCCAGAGACTATGCAGTCAGATCCTCGCGGGCCTTTGCGGAGTAATGTCCCACTAGAAACATACATGGCACAAAGAGATATGCGTGTACTCTTGCACCAACAGGGAGAGCGTTTGACCACAGACCCACATTCTGGACACATTCAAGAGACTCTTCCCCCATCTTCAGCACCCTCCAGCCTACCCTTATCCTTGTCTCCTAGAGCACACGTTTTGCCTAAAGGTGTGTCCGAGAAGGATGTAACAAAGCCATTAGAGGCAAAAAGGCCACACTCTCCTCTTCCTAAAGATGGAATGATGGGGATCAGACAATCTGGGCAAGCAATAGCATCTCCCCAGAGAGTTCAGCTAATGCCACCAGGACCTAGTGGTTCATTCCCAGAGTACTCTGGGATCTACTCAAACCCAAGAGGCATCCATTCTCAAATACCAGAGACATCTCCTCTTGGACTTAACCAGCCACCGCTGAACGTCACACCAACTATGGTGAGTTCATTGTACTTAACACTTTAGTTTAATAGACCATCACCTAGCTAAAAGTAAAAAAAAAAAATAATACAACAGTCGTGCAATAAACGCTACCATCAAAATAGTTGCAATGTTCTAGAGAGTTGCTGATTTAACTCTGGTTATTTTGAAAGCTGTGGTGTAGTGATAAGCTGGGCACTTGATAAAAAGCAGGCCAACTGAGTGTTTATGTGAACCTGGGTTATTGTCTATATGTTACAGAGACTGTTCATGACACATTACACTATTGTCTTAAATCCTCAGGGTGCAGACCTCCAGACGAAACCAGATGGCAAGATGACGCAGCCTGTTAATATGGTGCAGTTGCTCACGGTAAGACGAAACTCATCACAACAGTTAAATTGTTGGTCTGAACAACAGCTGGCTTTGTCTGACATAACTTGTCTTTGTTTTGTCTTACATTTAAACAGAAATACCCTATTGTGTGGCAAGGCCTGCTGGCACTGAAGAATGACACAGCTGCAGTCCAGTTGCATTTTGTCTGTGGAAACAAAGCTTTGGCTCATCGATCACTGCCCCTTCAAGAAGGAGGCGCATTGCTTAGGATTGTCCAGAGAATGAGACTAGAGGCTTCGCAACTGGAGAGTGTAGCCCGGAGAATGACAGTATGTTTTTTGGCCTACTCCCATTGAGTCATTTTTTTTCTGTTTCATTAAATAGTCTTCTAACAGCATGTACACTTTTTTTCTCCACAGGGGGACAGTGACTTCTGTCTTCTTCTTGCCCTGCCATGTGGACGAGATCAAGACGATGTCCTAAACCAAACTCAAGCTCTTAAGGCTGCTTTCATTAACTACCTGCAGACAAAGTTGGCTGCTGGTATTATCAATATCCCCAACCCAGGCTCCAATCAGGTGAGGCATTTGTTTACGTGTCTGTAATCTGTGTTCATGTGTGACCTCTACAGTCTCATTTAAAAAAGTAACCTGTTTTCTGTGTTGACTATAATTTATTATTGCTGCCTCATTGCACAAATGATGCACATGACCAGAAGCGTAATCTTGCTTTATCAAACACCTGTCCGATATTACATCTGTTGGTTCTTTGTAACTTCATATATGTAATTGATGTTTTCTTTCTTGTTCCAGCCTGCCTATGTGCTACAGATTTTCCCACCATGCGAATTTTCAGAGAGCCACTTATCTCAGCTCGCTCCCGACCTCCTCAACAGGATCTCCAGCATCTCACCACACCTCATGATTGTCATCACCTCTGTGTAACCTTCAACGTGGCGAACCGTAACATCAATGGATGTTCTCGCTGATGAGCCTCAGGAAACCAGAGGAATATAAGAATTTTGTTTTTCTCCTGGACACAATGGGAATGTGTAGGATATACCCTATTGACGCTTTTTTTTCTTATGTCACTCCTGTCTGGTATTTTTGTCCTTCTCAAAAGAACTCAGGGATGGACCAAACCAGAATCAGTCTTATTTGACCATTTCTCTGCTGTATTTCTATTTATTGGAGTTTTATTTTAATGTTCGGAGATGCTCTGAAGAAAAAAAAAAATCAGGATGTTTGAACAACAATGAGTGACTATCTGGGTGGCCTTTTTTTCTTTCATCTGTCTTTTATTAATTGATTGTCAAATTCATTTCTTCACAAGAGTGGATCGTACAAGCTGTTGCGCCACAATGGCTAAAAGACATTTCAACATGTAATTTTAATTAATTATGTACAGACTTCCTCGCCCAGGCTTTCGTTAGAGGAAGAAATAACTTGTAAAACTATGGAGACCCTGTAGAGGACCATGTTCGTTTAACAGCTCCTTTAATTCCACCAGCTCTGCTTGTTTTCTCACACTACTGAAGCAGTTACACTTCTGGCTCCTGCCTTTGCATTGAACAAGCTACAGTATGATTTGGGAGTTTTTGAATACAGGACTTTGTAAATATTTTAAATATTTAAACTCTGACAATGGAACTTGGACAACTTGACGGAGACTTGAACTCTGGGACATACCAGGACACAGTGTGGAAATTTAGATGGATATCCTTGATTTTTGGGTGTAAATACTTGTAACACAAGAAGGTTGGCAAACTCTCCTGAGGAGTCTGCCGATGGCACTTCATATTTTGTAACTCAAATAAAACAAACTCCAGAAAACTTGAATATTTAAGATATAATCATTTTATTTATGTTGTGTTTTATTTGACAAGAATGTTCATTTTTAATCAGCAAATCTTTGATGTGTGATTTCACTCACTTTGATACTGAATACATGAGATATTAAAAACATGGTTACTTACATTTCAGATCATACAAATAAAGTTTAAGTGAACATCAAAAGGGGTTAAACCTGAGTTCAGTGATAAAACATTTTACATATAATTTGGAAACTAAAGTGACAATGGAATTGTACTTTAGTTGCATATCAGTCACTCACATATGAAAACCAATGCATTCATTTTGTTTGGTCCCAGTGTATTTGATGGGTCACAAGCTCATCTTATGAAACCTTGATCATATTAGGTGATTTTAACACATCAGCAAACTTTTAAGACAACTGCTTTAGGTAAAAATGAATGGGGAACTCCACTAATTTCACACATAGGAGTCTGATTAGAGGGAACAAGGAGTCTCACTACATATGGGAAAAAAAAATTGTATAAAGACTTGTGTGGCTCCAGAGGGAGCTGCGTGAAATTCGATAAAGTACCTCAAGAGAGTCAGTGTCAGTTGGGGCTGAAGACAAGTTTAAAAATGAAAACAAATTTGGAGGTGTGGAGTTAGAAAGAAAATAACTTATCAGACTTCTGTAGCCCATTCCTTATCTCTGCTTTAGGATAAATTAGCTGCTACTTTTGTAAGGTGTAATGCATTTACTTTAGAAAAAAAAACAACCCTTTTTTGTTAATGAGATTATCAGAATTCTGAGCAAAGTTTTCATAAAAAAATGAATATGAATTAATGAGATAATCTTGATTTTTTTTTCTTTTGTATTAACAAGATCCTCAGGAATCTGAGAAGCTGTCATGAAAAAATGTGTTTTTTCTCAAGTACCAGGATAATCTCATTATATTTTGTATTTCTGTGTTAACAAGATTATCTCAGAATTTTGAAAAAAAAAAGTTTTTATGAAAAAAGTTTTGCTCGTTTTTCTTAATTTTTCTCAATAAACGAGACAATTTCAGAAATTCAAATTTTTCAGAATTAACATTATTCTCATTAATTCAGAAAAACAAGCTGTTTTTTTTCTTCTATGAAATCTTTTTGTAGAATCCAGGATAATATTCGTGTTAATTCAGGAAAAACAAAATTATTTTTCTCATATTTTTGTCATTATGCCTCTGCAGCTACTTGCAAAACACACCTCAATTTCAAATGTTTTGGTGATCATGTTGCATAATGGGTAATGCAGGCGTTTAACATGGAAGAAGAAAGCATAGTTTAAAAAAAGGCAATGGGTGCGCTCTGAATCACATACTTTTTCTTTTAACTTTTAGTTGGTACTGCAGTTGCCCTTAAAAAGTATGTTGTATGCAGTGTGCCACAATCGAGACATATGACTGTCTCATATCATCACACCCTGAACTTTGACCCTCTTGCTTTTATATCCGTTACCTTGGAGATAAAACAAACGCCACTCACTGAGTTCTCCAGAGATGGAGATCGACCTGTAGAGCTCTGCTGTTGTTACTTTGCAATGTGTGCAGTTTAAAAGTTTAAAGTTAAAACTGCAGAGATTGTAGCTAGAAATAGCCAGAAAAGCATGCTGGCTTGCATACTGCAAAGATGGACTGGATATAGTAGAACATCCTGGTATTTTTGGCATACTGCATTTGACATACTATGTACTGAGGCATACTAACTCCTTCTCTGGTATACTATAAAGTGTGGTAGTATGGGGATTGTAATGCACAGAATATCTCTGGTTCTGCTGCATTCATTTTGATACTTTTTTAAAAGACGGACCATCATTCCAACAGTGATACAGGAGTACTATACATGTTACTGAATATAAAAGAGAATGCTGTATGTTACATTTACCTCACTGGGGAGGTCACTATGTGCTTAAATACTAGTGCTTCAGATCTTCACAGGAGCCAAAAAGTGCCATCCGCTGCTCTTCATACTGGGAAATGTTCCTCTTCATGATGTCCATACAGGGTCCCAGCAAACGCTCGAAAGCCTGGACGTCAATTACTGAAAGAGATAGAAAGAAAATTAAGATTACATCATCCTACTGCAGGCTCCTGGTTCCTGTCTAACAGATGGAGGATGTAGTTTCCATAAAAGGAGCGAAACAGCCTAAAAACAGCAGAAATTAGTGCACAAATCATTTTACATTGAGAGAAATGCTGGGATTTAAGACAGTGCCATTACAGCTCTTGTGGTTATTATAGGGTCCGCTACAAGCTCAGTAAATGGGGCGTGCTTCAATATGTAAACTTTTGTTGTCGAAGATCAATGTGTTAAACAGGAGGATAAAACGAAAACAAACAGTATATTTGGGGGAATTTCGTCGATGAGTCCGATCTGTCTCTGTCGAAACTTCACCTCTGTAATCCACTGCAAACTGCACAGCTTTTACCTTTAGCTGCCACTTCATTGGGATTCAAGACTGAAGTGTGAGAGTTGGCAAAGCTGTGACAGTGAAGGAGACAGAGCTGAGCGCTGACAGGGTGCAGACTCAGCTCTGACGGGCCCCTGCCCAATTTAAAGGAATGCTTCACCCAAAAAATGATCATCTGTATATGCAATTACTCACCCTGTGCTACCATTGAAGTTGTTAAGAAAACTGTTTTTCTTGGACACCTCAATGCTGAATGACAAACCATACTATACTATGACCTCCGTTGATGAACTCACACAACGCGTGCAGTGTAATCCAAGTCTCATTCATCAAGTCATATGCTCAGCACTTCCCAAACAACTGTATTTTCACTAAAACCTTAGAATTTAAAACACCTCTGCATAAACATTCTCATGCTTGGACGAGTAGCACACCTGGCCTGGGCAACTCAGTGGAATACACATGCAGGGTTCAAAAATGAGCTTGCCCATGCACACTACTTGTACACAGAAGTGTTACAACTGTGAGCTTTTAGCTACAATGCACATATTGAGGAAGTACTGAGCGTACAACTGGGTACATGAGACCTGGATTATACTGAGCGAGTTGTGTGAGAGTTCGTAAACTAATGTTTTGATGTACTGTAGTTTTGATGTTGTTATAGTTGGACCCCTTTTTACTTCAGTTCATCAACAATGTTCTCCATTTTTGGATTCTTCTTTTATTGTGGAGGCATGCAAGAAAAAGTTTCCTACATGAATTCAAGGAAACAGGGTGAGAAATTAATACAATTGATTATTTTGTGGGTGAAGTATTCACCCTATGGTCACATATTGGGTCAGGTACTGTGCCTCCTGGGGCTGCCTGACCCCGCCGGGAGCACCTGATAAAATTGATCATGAGTTACTGTGTTTGTTCTTGACTCTGCTGCTGCCCCTACATACACACAGCAGCCCAACCAAAGTCCAGTATCCAACCATTCTTTCAAAATGAGGTGCTGAAATCTAAAATGAATGTGCTTTTACTCCTGACACACAGAACTACAGACACTAGGGTCGTACCTAAACATTTGGTTTCTCCCACAGCGTAAACTGATGCTGCACGGGGTTTGTTGGTGACCAATGCCAGCTCCCCAAAATACTGCCCTCTGGAGCAGCGAGCCACCTCCACCTCTGCGTTATCCTGCTGGCCAACCTTTGTCTGTAACGGACACAAAGACACCTGTGAGTCCAGGCTACATTTTCATTTTAAAAAGGCAGCTGAAATAGATTCAGTCACACTCACTGTGCTTTTTATCATGATCTTCACCTCTCCTGATTCCACAATGTAGAAACAGTCGGCGTCCTCCCCCTGCAGAGGCAGAAAGCAGCAGAAACACATTTATTAAATCTGACCTGTTATTGATTAACACAAGGCAGCCAAAGATACAAATATCCCAACACTACCTGCGTTATTATGCGCTCTCCATCTTTGAACGTTCGTGCTCCCAAAACATCTACAATCTTCATCCTCTCAGACACCTTGTGAAAAGAAACAGAAAAGACGCACCTGACAGACCTGAAGGAGATTAAATATGCACTTATTCTACGATTATCTTGTTTGTGTTTCTAATACAGACCTCAAGAGACTTCAGAAGAGGAACACACTCGATGAAGGCCTCATACATCCTCCTCTTCTTTGCATTATTTCTAACAATCAGTCTGTGGAATGTGGCTCGATCCTGAAACAGCACCAAACACCACATTTAGTGAATTTTTTTATTACTTTAGCTTCAATTCCTTTAGCTTCTTTTTATTCATGATCTAATCCTTAGTTTGTGGGACTCACCAGGCCCCACAGGGCGCCTTCCTGTGTTGCAACGATTGTGGCGGCTCGTGGCGTGTTGTACATGAGAGCCAACTCACCAAAACTGCCCTTATTGTCATACTTTCCAACACACACACTCACTTCATCCTTCTGCACCAAAATATCATACACACCCCTGGAGAGGATATGACACACAGACGGGGAGTAGAAGTCATCATCAGACTGACACAATGTCATCCAGACATAACGTTACAAAACAATTTGAAATGTGTCACTCACTTTTCTATGACATAGAAATTGTCTCCGTCATCTCCTTGGTCTATGATGTGTTCCTGAGGTTTGACTAGCACCTCGAACATGCCATCCAAAACCTCAGAGAACTGCTCCTGGAGGACATGAGGTGAGGACAGGTTATTTTTACAGCAGTGCATTAAGACAAGACATAATAGAGACATATACACAGGACTGGGGTTTAAAAGTAGTGCAAAGTAACTTAGTACATTTACTCAAGTACTGTACTTAGTATAATTTGAGGTACTTGCACTTGAGTATTTTTATTTTCTGCTACTTAATACTTCTACTCCATTAAATCTCAGAGGTAAATATTGTATTGTATTGTAAATATTTTTTGCACTCATTGCAATGGTGGCACGGTGGAAGGTAAAAGATCTAAAGACTTTATCCAACATCGAAGATAGAGATGAGTATTGACAAATCTTATTTAATAAAAGGCAGCGACAACCTGAGAGGTCTTCAGCCTCAAATTGAAAGAGCTGAGAGGTAGAGCGAAGTTTGTTTTGTTGGATGCTGTTTCTCCATGTTCTTTTGGGGGGGAAACTAAGCCAAGCAGCAGAAACCATTCAGTGTTTTATAAACCATTTTTTGACACACAGAAAGCCAGTGTTGTGGTTTTAGTGAGGACTCTGGCAGCAGCAGTTGGAATAAGCTACAGCTGTCTGACCTTTTTATACATTGCACTCACATCAGGTCCTCTTTGTGTGTGCACATGTATTACCCATGCTGTTGGGACATAAAGCTGTTTACACAGTCTCATTGTGGGGACTTGCCTTTCTTTTGGGTCTCCATAATGTAAATCATTCCGTTTTAAGTTGGAGACTTTGGCTAAAGTTGGGATAAGGTTAGATTTTAGGTCACGGTTATGGTTAGGCAACTATTGGTTGCAGTTAGGACAGGGTTGGTAACCTGCTGCTCTTTAGCCCCTTTCCAGTGGCTCTATGTGGCTTTTACAAAAAATGATATAGAAATGGAAATTTTCACAGCTGTAGGCCGAAGTGATTCTTACGTTTTCCAGTTGTAAAAATGTGTAACCTATACACTCAAAAAAACATTTGAACATTCCGTCAACTAAAGTGCGTCACACATCTATGACCTGGTCCCATCTCTTAAATTCTGGTGAACCTAAATAGCGGTGGCTAGTTAGTGGTGGAGTTCCTCGCTAGGCTAGGTTTATTCCAAATCCAAAAAATAAAAAGTCTTAGAGGAAAACAGGGAACGTAACAGCGATTGGACTGATTTTTTTTTGCTTTCACCACCAACGCAGCTCAGTTTAAGTACAAAATAATCATAAACAGCCCACTACAGAGGAGCCACCCTATGCTAAAAATGAATTTTCATTTAGATCTATTAATAACATTGATTGGCTAATTTAGATCTATTAATAACATTGATTGGCTAATTTAGATCTAATATGCTGAGTTACCTTTTTTGTTAAGCACAAATATGTACTGCAGCTCCAGACATATTAAAACAAATATTCATGCCAAAAATTACTCTTTTTTCTTCCAATTTTACAGGAAATACATGTAAACCAGTGTAATGTCATGAGAAGTGACTAAAACATGACTTTATGTTAGTGAAACAATCATCATCAAAATGACATCCAGTGTTGTACCTGCTCCAGTGTTTTAAACAGTAAAATATCTCTGCACGCATCCTGAAGTCTGCGACGCTGCTCGTCCGTTTTGGGATGCACAACCCGAAGCTCTGTGTCATCGTCCTCATCGTCATCAGGGTTGTACGCCTCTGCACAAACTGCAGCAGGACAAACAGATGAAAACACTGTACCGTGGTCAACATGAATTAATATTCATCACACATATTGTCCCAGTTACTGACCTGAAACTCTGCGACTGTATTTACCCGTGGTGCACTCTGCAGAGACACAGAGACAGAGGTGAATGTATTAGAGTAGATAACACAAGAGAGCTCGTCATACTTTATTGTCATAGTTTTGTTCACATGGGTGTTTGCCTGACTGTGACCTTGTAGGTCAAAACTTTGCATCTGTACATTTTTTGTGAGCTTCCAAATTTCAGTTTCCACTTCCTTTGTGTGATTTTGACATTATGAGATTTCTAGTTTTTGAAACATCTGCGGATGGCCGATGTGGAGCAGAAAACAAACACAAAATTATGTAATAATACTCACTAACAGTGTCTTCCTCCTCCTCCTCCTCTTCTTTGTCCTTGATGGTCTTATTTGACTTTGTCTCAAAGGTCACTCCTTTCCGTGCAGGTTTGGGGCTGCGTTTCTTGGCCCGTTGGTCATTTCTTTGGCGGTCCAGAATTTGTGTAAAATGCTGCACTGCAAATTCCACCAGGTCAGGCGGCCTGCGGCGAAGCACCTCCACTGTGTATCCCTGCAGCAGCTCTTTCAAACCAGCTGGTATCTCCACATTGCTCATCATGCAGCTGCAGAGGTCACGGCTTGTATAGCTCACAATTAAACCACTGACCTAAAGATCAAATATTTTGACTTAAAATAAAAAAAAATCTAAGCATCAGCCTGTCCCATAGATTTCATAAACATACATCTGTCCAGAGCGAACTGACTCCTCCTCCTCTCGTTCCATTCTCTCCAACATTCAGCAGCTTATTGATTTCTTTATTTAGCACGGCCTGTCGGAAAGTATTGACCAGGACTTTTCACATCAGATGTAATTAAAGGCTGTCCGATGGATTACAGCTCAAAACTTGATGATTTGGCAAAGTAACAACACACAGACAGAGAGGACTTAAAACTGTTTATCCTGGAAGTCAGGCTGGTGTTAAAAAGCTGCAGAGACAGACATCATCAGATAGGTATGTTTATAAAAGTGCACGAGTATTCTAATAGCGGCGTATGTTCAATTCAAACTACAAAGCCATCTAAAAACTTTATAGGGGTCTGCAACAACAAGGAAGTAACTCAGTGTGTTTAAAACTGAAATGTGAAAGAGTCAGGGAGAGGATACCCTGGGGTAGACTGAGACTGAATTCATGTGACTCACAACAGAAAACATGAAGCTGACCTTGAAATTCAGCTTTATGGAGAGAAGTTTTGTCTGGAAAAAAAACTCCTCTGGGTTTTCAAAAGACTCATGACGTGAAATCCTGCAGCTGCTGGACACAAAAAGAAAAATCCTCATTGTATATTTTGGTTTTACCCACTGTGACGCCATGGGGTGGCTGTGGCTCAGGAGGTAGTGCAGGTTGTCCACCAAAAGGAAGATCAACAGCTTGATCCCCGGCTCCTCCGGCCTACATGCCAAAGCATCCTCAAGCAAGACACCAAACCCCAAATTACCCCCAATGGCATATGGTTGTACCTTGTATAGTAGCCTCGGCTACCAGTGTATGAACGTGAATATGAATGGGTGAATGTGACTCATAGTGTAAAAAGCACATTGAGTGGTCAGAGGACTAGAAGGGCGCTATACAAGTGCAGTTCATTTACTTCCTGGCTAAAGGTTCATTAAGTTTTGGAAGAAGTGCTCTGGGTAGATACAAGTCTCCTGTGGTTTCAGATCACTTGTTCTTGAGATGTTTTGTGTTTTCTATCTTTACTCTTTAATTAGGCTGGGACAAAATATTTAAAAGGTCTTGACTTTGAACCTCCCAGTGATTACATTTTTTTCATACATGTCAAAGGTAAGATCTGATGGAGCTGACAGTAGAGTTTTTTTAAAAATAAAAAGTTATATATTTATTAAATTCACAGCCGTAGTGAGAAGCCATTTTATTTCTCAAAGTTGCAAAGAGCTAAGATACTGCTAATCATAATACTCATCTTTTAACCATAATTCTTATTTAGTTTTCCGATACCATTATTATGTAATGAATTTTTCATAAAATAGAAAAATTACCAGCACTTGAGCATCATTCCTGCTTTTATAGAAACCAGTGAGACAGGAGTCCTTAGGATATAGCTGACCCCTTTATGGCTGATTAAATAACATTTTGGAGAAATCTGACGGAGCTGACAAAAATCTGGGACAGAATATATTCACAAAAATATATTTTAAAACAAAGATGATTCTAGCAGTACATTTCACACCACCGTTATCAGTATGTATGGTTAGGTTTTGACAGCTTTTAACACATTTTTAATGGTCTGAAGTGGTGAATTATTGTCTGGGATGGGGCTGTTTCCTGGCACAGAACAAGTTGAAATGTTTGAAACATAAAAATACATTATAAATATTATTTATTTCATACATATAAATCCTTTAAAAACGTTTCACCCCTGAAATCAAATAGCCTTTAAGGCTTTGTTTCAGTAGGACATGATTTGTCCCAGTTCTCAAGGATGCCTGAGCTACAGCCCCAATTCCCAAAAAATTGGTATGTTGTGTTAAACACTGGTTCACAGAGACAGCAGGCTCAATGACATGGCCAAACACAAGTATGACGCTGAATATATTAAAGTGTGTGAACCTTGATAATGACTAAAGACAAATCTGGACCCTGTGGTGTAAAACATAATCATAAATAGCAATGCAATGATTTGTCTCTACAGCACTATTCGAATGAATACAGTACAGACAAGATATTTAATGTTCAAACTGATAAACTTTATTGTTTTTTGTAAATATACACTTGTTATGATTTTGATGCTGCAACGCACTCCAAAAAAGTTGGGACAGCAGCATGTTTACCGTTGTGTCACATCACCTGTCCTTTGAAGAACAGGAAGAGGATTTAAAGTCTGTGTGTGAAGGAGTGGGCCAAAATCTTATCTGAACACTGAGGATTAGTTTCTTTACACAAGAAGCATCAAGGCAGCTTCTCCAAGTACATGTTCAGTTCTTTTTCCTGTGTCGTTCCACTTTACTGCACAGAATTTTTATGGATTGAAACATTATGATTTCTTTATCAGTGTTGTTTTACTGTGTTGATACCAATGTCTGGTCTAACTTTCATGTGAATAGCCTCATTTGAAGTATGTGCAATGGAAAAAATTGACATGTTGAATACTTATTTTCCTGAGTTTATCATAGCATCATTGCATTTTGTTTTTATTTACATTTTAACAGCATCCCAACTTTTTTGGAAATGAGGTTGTGGTTGTATTTTGAATGTTAAATGCTGCAGGCAGAAGTCATGACTAAAAATACCTTCAACTGATGGTTGAAATGGGAATTATTACATCCTTATGATGAAAGAACAACTGGCTCTACTGACTAACTTCTGTATTTTTTCACTATGCATTTTATTTCTTCTTTTATTATTTAATTTCTCCTTAAATTCTATTGATCTACTGTCTTTAATATGAATTATCACTCAGTTTATTGTCGTTCTTTGTTGCAGTTGTTTCAATAAGCACAGACGATCAAAGCTTCTACGTTTTATGACAATAAATCCAAATAAAAAGTGAATTTAGAGGAAAAAAAAGCATGAGTCTTATTTCTAAAGATGAATTCTGTTTTTTATTTCTTTACATGATGACATTCATATACTGTTTGATCAATCTCATTATAACTACGCTCATAATTTCACATGAACAGAAAGTGTAGTGAGCATTGGTGGTCACTGAGTGGAGGGTGACCGTACAGGAAGCAGACAGTCTGAAAGGCGTGTATTGCTGAGAGAGACTGAACACACACACAGTACAACATAATGCACCTTGTCCCTGATATGTACACCTGCTCGCAGATAATAACAGAAGGTAAGGCACGGCATGTTCTCTTCACTCCTTTTCTAATATAAAAAAATAACACAATTTAAAAAAAAAAAAGTCAAACAAAAAGGAGTGAGAACATTCGACTGCGTGTGTGTGTGTGTGTGTGTGTGTGTGTGTGTGTTTACTGGTCTGCTCTGAACCCTCCGCAGATCTGAATGATTCGCGTGCTCTACAGTACCATAAGATTTCAAAGATAATCAAGCACATTACTGGAAAACTGATAAAATCTCTTTGTGATTCAGTGTGTGTGTGTGTGTTTGTGTGTGTGTGCTGCTTATAACGGTGTTGTTTTAAGCAGCTCTGTTCCTGGGATTCACATACAAGGCGACGCTGAGTCTTCATCACAGGTTTGGTGCTGCCCAGTTTAGGAACTTCATTGCGAGCTCAAATCCTAAGAAACAAGCCTGGAGAGGAAACAAACAGATAAAATCTTTAAATGACTGAGTTTAAACACAACATTTTCTATGACAAAATGTACAAAATCTTTTTTTTTTTTATTGCTGCAGAGCTCACTAAAGAATAACTGTGCCCTTACAGCATTACAAAACCTACATATTTGTCTTTGCAAATTTCAAGCAGTGCTACTGTGAGATGATGTCAGCTTTAAGATGCTGACGATGTCATTAGAACATCCCATGGTCAGGTTCAGGGATCTTGACTGCATGATATTCCTGTCACCTCTCTACTGTCAGCTAGAGCTGCAACTAACCAACTTACTAATAATTTCCATCATAGATTCATCTTCCAATTATTTTTCTTGCTCTTATAAATGTCAGACAAGAGTAAAAAAATGGCCATCACACTTTCCTCTACTCCGAGCTCCCTCCGGATGTCCGAGCTCCTCACCGTATCTCTAAAGCTGAGCATAGCCACCCCACGGGGGAAATTCAGAGTTACATGTTTACTGGATTTAAAACTGGAAACACTGATTCTTTTTACATTACCATTCTCGTGGGGGAGAAAAAACAGATTTTGGTGTTTTGAGGTGTGAAAATATACTATGTGTTGGCCATCTTTAGTGCTATATTGTAGGCGACTGGACTTGCTTGAGTTTCTTGAAGACGGTTCACCTCTCGTCCAAGAGGCTTTTTCAGTGCTAAGGGACTGGTGTGGAGTCACAGGCTTTAAAGTCTGTGTGGGTGTGAAACCTTACAGAGTCCTTGAGGTCACATGTTAGCTCTGAGTTTCCGAGTTGTTAAGGTCCCACGTGAGTCTTTGACCCACCCAGCCTTCATGTGTGTCGATTGGTTATGTGGGTCCAGGTGGGAATGGGTGTCAAACCATCTGGGGAGGAATCTCAGGACTGTACTGTAAGTAGGTGACAGGTGGTATCTTAGGCCACCACCTCTGTTTAGCCATGGTCTTTCAATTTTGACCGAAATGGCTTCTTTTAAACCATCTGTCGTCGCTGGCCAAGATGTAAATAGTGCTGTCCTTGAAGGAGTATTCCTTCGTCTCCTTTAGATGTAAATGGTCAGCTGAGTCTTGACCTGAGGAGCTGGCTCTCCTGTGCTGTGCAACACGCTTATGGAGTGGTTGTTTGTTTTCTCCAATGTACAAATCTGTGCATTCCTGGCTGCATAATCTGTGCAATACAATTTATAGTCTATAGCTTTGTTTTTGGTCTCAAGACAAAACTCTCTTCAAAACGCTGTGTATTTCTGTTATATTGCATTATTTGTATCTGTCAGTTATCAGTTATTAGTTATTTTCATATATCCACAATAACAGGTACACTGATCACAGTGTTGACTGTCAGAAAAAATCCACATCGCGAAGATATTCTCACTTTCTCACACATTTTCTTCTATCATGTATCATGTTTATGACTATGCTGTATTTCGTGTAAGCACCTCGGGCTGAAGGAAACATGTTCAGTGTTTCTGAAACTGAAGAATAAGTTAAGTGCACTCACTGCGTTTGCAGGGAAAGCTCTAAGCATGACAGCATTGAAGCCTTTGTACAGAGAGCCCACGCCTTCCTGTCTGATCAGCTCCCGCAGAACGTCCCGGAAACCGTTGGGATATTTTCCTTCAGGAGCTGCAGGAGACATGACAGACACATGATTTTAAGACAAAGTGGATTGTAAAAGAAAACATTATCTTCAGCAGTATGGACAAAAGTGAAGACATTTTTTCTAGAGGTAGTAAGTCAAAGGGCAACCACTAACTGGTGCAGAGTACCGGGAATTATTACCCCTCCATTAAACCCAGTTTCAACTGACAAAGTACTTCTAGATATCGTAGTACCTGGATGATGGAGAATCTTCACAGACTCTAAACACTGAACTATTCTATGTTTAGGTACGACCCCTTTACTGCCACATGGAACTGAATTTAGGACACATTTTAAAAAACAAAAGACAGAAACACAGCTGGCAAAAATTAAATAAAATAAAATAAAATCAGCCAGTGTTTGACTGAACTTCTTTACTTAACAATTTCAGACATTCGTGGAATCTGAGAACAAACCTGTTTGGAAACGAGACTTGAGTACGTCAGCTGGAATTGCGACGGCCCAGTTAAAGATGCCAGCCATCCCCCCGGCAAACAGCACACTGGGGACGCTGAGCTCATTGTGGCTGCAGGCAGAAGACAACAGGTCCCACCAGTCAGCGGTGTTTGTCACAATTTAACTGAAAGTTGTAAATACCTTGAGGGCAGAACTAATATTCACCTTTTTCCTGCAGGTGTGAGGAGGTTCTTCAACCACTCGTAGGACGTGAAGTACATTCCACTGGCTGGGACATCTGAGTCACACAAAAAAAAGAGTCACTTCAGCTGCATCATAACCTCCATCACATAAGAAATATAGTTAAAGTGAATGTTTCTATGTAAGCAGTACTTTATGTTTTCTGATTGAATATATGGTGGTTTATTATGAGTTTAAAAGTTACAGAGTTAATCCAATCAGATGACCACCATACACATACTGTGTTGTTCTTAACACATGCAGACACACTAACTAAGAGACTGTAATAACAACCCAACAGAAGGGTAGACAAAATAATGAAAACACTTTAAGAAAATTATTTCAGAAGTAACTTAATCCCAGTTACAATCCCAGTTACAAAAGAGGGTCGGATTAGTTTGCACGTCAGTCAGCTGAATACTTAAAGGCGAGGCTTACAAATCATGACAACGTGACAAACTGCCTCAAGAAAAAGGAACAGGGGCCACAAGTTAAAGCTGGACGAGGATGACAACATCATATGGTACATAAATTAAGTATTAACAATGTCAGACTCATGATGGACAGCTACAAAAATGGGACAAATCTGATGTAGCTGAGATATCATCTTTATTATCCCATGTCCTGTTAAAGAGTTAGTCGTGGGTTATTATTAGTTGGGTTGTAAAGTTATAACCAAACCATTTGTAAGAAGGGTACAAAGTTAGTAGGGGTCCCATCTCGATACACTCTGCCCAGTTTGCCCTGACCGTGGTGCTCTATGCGGTGAGCATTATTAAATATTTTGCTGCCTATTTATAAGAATTACAGCAACTGTTTCAGCTATGCACTGGTATTGCGGTATATGGAAAATTCATATTGTACAGGAAAACTGGTGCACCAGTGTATCACCCAGCACTACCATGCTCTCTTCCGTCTTGTAAAAACCTGGCTCCAACATTACCCACATAGCAACTCAAGTGCCGACACTGCTGTTGGAGATTAAGGTGTGTCAGCAACTTATTTCACATATGCAGTAGTACTACCCAACACCTGTTAACACACTCTGATGTGTAATATCAGTGGAGTTCACCTTTAGTGGTACCAGGTAGAAATTTTGACCTCTAGTAGCACTGTGGAGCGATGTTTTTATGAGCGGGTCTCCATTTTCGTGCACACACGGGGTCACATGTGACACGATACACATTTATGCTGGTGGTTTCATACTAGTGTGGGTAAAGGCACATAATAGAACAGGTAGAATTATGTGGTAAGTTCAGAAAATTACATAATCATACTGTAATGCGGCCTTTAAAATCCAGAAAACACAACACTTACTATACTCTTATTATTATATAATCTACTGTCACATCCAGCCGAGTTGCAGTCAAAGAAAATGTTGGCACTGAACGCTTCTGTAAACCACAACTATGTTGCATTTCATGTTTCATATGTATCATACCAACGTTTCTAAAGTCACGTAGTATATGAGATGACTCAGGAGGATGGCGTGACACCTGAGCAAGACGCCTGCCAGGCTGCAGATCGCTGCAGAACACTGTTCCAGACCCACAATCAATAAAACTGGGTGTTGTTAGTGAGTCCTTGCTGTGTTTCCAGCTGCTTTTTACACACTAAACCTAGTTTTTTTTTAGTGATCCGTTGCTGACTTTTCACCGGCAATAGTGCCATGCAGCGTGGTTGTTTTTTCCTGACACATAGCTGCTTTCCCAGCGGGGATTGTGCCACCAAAACCAGGTATTTTAAGCCAAAACATGATCTCTTCCTTAGATGTATCCGCTACATGGTAACATCCAAATGCAACATATCTGTGGGTTGCTCATATCACGCTATCGGTATAATCTCGACAGACTGCCTAGCCGTACCTCTCATGAGAGTCAGAACGGTGCCTTTGTAGATTCCTCTGATCCCAGTCTCTTTGTACAGCTGTTTGACACAGTCCATGGGTCCGGCGTACTTCACTGTTCCTGAAGATGCCTGAATCTGCACCCACAGAAACACACACACTTTGACATTAGTTTACACTTACTGTCATTTCATTCTGGCATATGGAATCTACTGTTATTCAGTAGCACAGCACACAGTGATTAGATTATATGTATCTGTACAAACACATGACATCTGACCTGTAGGAGGCATTTGATGCGCTCTCCAGGAGTCATGATGACCGTGGTGAACACACCAGACAACATGCCCGCAGCAAACAGCTGTGGATACCTGCAGGAGACAGAGTACTGACATATTATCACCCGTAGGGCGTTTATAAGTTAGCAGTGCGACCACCTGCGACAGAGCAGTCACTTACGTAAGGACATCTTCAGGGTGCTTCTGTTGTAGTTTCTTTCCCAGTCCAAATCCAAAGAAACAGACAGCAAACATGGGCGTGACTCCGATGATCGGGGCCGCCATGCCTTTATAGAGCCCTCTCAGACCCTGTGAGGGAGGAAGATAACAAGAAAACATCAGCATGAGGGAGGAAATGACAAGATTTTATTTAATATATCTCTAATATTAAGGCAGCATGCATCCTTACCTCTTTGGCTAAAGTCTTTTTACAACAATCAATGGTTCCAGCATACAGCGGGCTCTCTCCAGGTTTGGGCACGGGCTGAGTTTGTAAACGCACCTGAGGAGGAAAGAGGATGCTTGAGTTTGTATTGACCTCACACACACACGTATGGAAACAAGCATTACAGTGGCAGCAGTCTGCACAAGGGATGTTGCTAATGACTAATTTTAAACAGAAGTTTAAATTAAGACGAGTCGACTAGTCTTAAAGTAAGAAAGCAGTTAATCTAATCTAATCTAATCTATAGGGTTAAACACTGTCCAAAATATACTGCATATATTGTAAGAGCCATTTGAAATCGTTAATCACATTGTTTAGGAAGCAAATCGTATTTTAATGCAGCTTAAATGTTTTGCAACAGAAAATTGCACATCATCCTACAACAGCTCACTAAATGTAAGTTATAATATAACATTTAGGACAACAAATCTTTAGGAAATACACTGGATAATTAAGACATGACAGTGAGGGCGGCAACGTTTAATCAACCAGTCGACTGATTGCGCAGGTCGATAAAGAAATTGGACACCACGTTTAAACACTGACAACAAGTCAAACTGTGAATAAGCCAGATGTTTAGAGAGTAAATGCTGGACTTCATTTGCCTAGTGGCCAGAAACACGACTCCAAATAAATACCGGTGTTGCCCTTAGTCTACTTGATGTGTAAATAGTCAACTGTCTGCCAATGTTTATGTCTTAACGACTTTTTAAGTTGGAACATGGTGTTATGTTTACAGCTTGTTACTCTGCTCCTCGGGGGTTAAAGAACTGTGATCGTAGTGTCACCTGGAAGTTTGTGGTTAAAAAATAAACATGACAAAACTTCTTCGAAAGCACCTCAAACACATCTTTGGCATTTCTGAACAGCAGTTTCGTCCGATACACTGATACCGAAATATTAAGGCTATTATCTGACAGAAGCTAATACTGGGAAATTGTCTGATTGATCTAGTGTTGCTCTATTAAAAGGTATGGTTCAGATTTTTTGAAGTGGGGTCAGCATGCATCCACAGTTTGGAGACGCAGGCTGGAGTCTGACATGGAAGCTAGACAATCTACTGCTGTGAATGGGGTCAGCAAAAAAACATATATTAGGCACCTTAAAGACGTCCCACCTAAAAAAGCAATATCAGTTTAAGTGTGCGCTATATTGAGAGTATTTTCACCGCATTACTTTACCATCAGACATTGATTTCCAATGGGAAAGTGAAGCTGTTTTATTGCTCTCTTCAAAACCAAACCCCCTTGAGAATAACAGTGATTTAAGATTGCCGGACACAGGAGCTGCTGTTCATCTACTGCCTCCATCAGTTAGTTTGTCTGTGTTATTTTGTGACTTCAGCATTTAAACGGGTTGGTTCATATTCACAAAAGTCACACAATAACACAAACTAACTAACTGATCTGAGCAGTAGTAGACCAGCAGGTCCTGTGTTCAGCAAGCTAAAATTACTGTTTTTGTCAATGGAGTCTGGTGAGCATTGATGAGGAACTTAAGATGTTAATATCTTCCGGTCAGAACTGGCTGATGGAAAAGTAAAGCTGTGAAAATACTCTCAGTGTAGCGTACACTTAAACTGGTATAGATTATTGTGGGTGGGACTTCTTTAAGGTGGCTAAAATATGTTTTTGTGGTGACCCCATTCACAGCAGTACATTACTTACATCCCATGTGGGACTCCAGCCTGCTTCTTCAAACAACTGACATCTGCTGTATGTAATACACTCACTAGTAGTGCCCAATAAAACCCCACTTTAAAAAAATCCGAACTATCCCTTTAAGGAGTATTTACCCACTAACAGTAGGTCTAATGCAAAGATAATGCATGGCGACACTCCTGCTTACAGGTGAGCCCTGTCTGTGGAAGAGACCACAACACCAGCAGTGAGCTGAGTCATATACGATACGAGAAACTGAATGTGGGTCAAAGGGCAGCAGCATTAATATCTACAGGAGTGTGTTACATCCACACAGCTGACTCTCTCTCTCTCTCTCTCTCTCACACACACATATGTTAGTCTATGCTGGCTCTGCTGTCTGCAGTGTCCCCGGATGCACTCTCCTTGGTTGTGTCCTAATATAATGACGTGTATAAATGCAGTTATCACCTTAATGGTGTCGAGAGGATGTCCGGCGAAGACGAGGCAAATGCCTCCAAATCCTCCGGCGAAGAAGTTCTTCATCGGACTGATCGACTGTTGTTTGGACATTTTTACTTTCCGCTCTGCAGGAAGAAAGAAACACACCGGACTGAAAGACACCGCCACCGGAAACAAATTCAAAAACACACCGAGAGACGAACATGAAATAACAGACAAGTGAAAACATGTTACCTGTTGGACTGCGTCTCAGTGACTGAGGTGTGTGTTTGTCAGCTGCTGTCACCCCTGACTGTTGGACCTTTCACCCACTTACCCACCCGGACCGGTCTGACTGCGACACACCTGTACTCTGGTACGTCCCTGTTTGGCCTCCGGGTGGAAACTGCCAACTTTTGTTTGAAACTTGATTAAAATTCCAGTGTAACGGCAACCTGCTGGTCAAAAGCACCTCTTTATTGTGTTTTATAGAGATTTTGAAAATGTAATAAATACTATTAAATCGTGTACCAATAAAAAAAAAGGTAATAAAAACGGTACTGGCATGTTTTAACTGTAAAGAAATGTGAGCTAAGCTGTTGTGAAATAGGCATAGACATATATACATAGACGCCGCATCGAGTGCCTGAGCGCGTCCTCGCCGGCCGCCATCTTGGATGGGTCTCGCTTCGCAAACACAATGCATTCACTTCTATTGAGGAAGGAGCTGTATGCACAAGTAAAATAGAATAACTCACTGAATTTTCAACTGATTTTCACGCGGTTTGGTTTGTTACAAACAGCACACATGTAGTTATGATACAGGATGCTTTTGTACATTAAAAATGCGGGATTTCATGCTTTAATACTTTCTGCAGATAGCAACAGCATGTTATTTAGGTCATAACACAGTTCTTTTATTCACCTCAACCCCAGAGTGCGATGGATATATACATATATATATATATATACAGTACAGGCCAAAAGTTTGGACACACCTTCTCATTCAATGCGTTTTCTTTATTTTCATGACTATTTACATTGTAGATTCTCACTGAAGGCATCAAAACTATGAATGAACACATGTGGAGTTATGTACTTAACAAAAAAAGGTGAAATAACTGAAAACATGTTTTATATTCTAGTTTCTTCAAAATAGCCACCCTTTGCTCTGATTACTGCTTTGCACACTCTTGGCATTCTCTCCATGAGCTTCAAGAGGTAGTCACCTGAAATGGTTT